TGAATACGGCGGGTGGAGTAGAACTTTCCATCGAAGCGTTTCCAGGTAGGTTTTCACTGGTTTTGCAACATGAGGCTGAGCGTTGTCATGTAACAAAATCACTTTGTCGTTTCTCTTCTTGTATAGCGGCCGTTTTTCTTTTAGGGCTCGACTCAAACGCATCAATTGAAGTCGATAGCGATCCCCCGTGATAGTCTCATTCGGTTTGAGCAGCTCATAATAAATTACACCCTGCTGATCCCACCAAATACAGAGAAGAAGCTTCGAACCATGAATATTTGACGATGTTGATGCATGGCCAGGCTTACCCCATGATTTTCTACGCTTTGGATTATCATAGTGTATCCATTTTTCATCGCCAGTCACGATACGGTGCAAAAAATCCTTTTCTTTTCTGCCGTTGAAGCAATAATTCACACGTGACAAAACGCCGTACGATGTCTCTTGGCTTCAATTCATATGGCACCCACTAAAGTGAACTATCATACACTGAAATTTCAGGTTAGATACAGTACTTCCTTGCAAGTGCGTTACCATTCGAAATTTCAAGCACGGAGTACTGCTATTGCCATCTTTGATGAAATAGCGAGAACTTATTCAAGGTCCTAATACCACGTTGGGGTAGACCAAAAAAGTTCGAAAATATTGTATTGACACCTCTATATAAAAATATCAGACAAATTACAACAGCAAAATTCAAGGATATAATTGACCTATAACGATATATACCACCGGAATATCAAGATTTCTTCAAATCCCTTTCACACACACAAAATGTAGATGAGTAGTAAATTGTTTTGTAGGTTAGTTTGTAATTTTGTATGTTATGTAGTTAAAAAATGTTTTGAATCGCATAAATTATTTCTGAAGTGTTTTAAATATATGTAAAATAAATTGTGTATTGCTTTCTTTGATTTGAAGCATCTTAACGCTTTCGCTACGGGACGGATCTCCGCCGAGGTACTCCCGCAGTACGGCGCGCTACACCGAAACAGTGCACGGTGCACGCAACGGATCGCAGCGGTCGCATCAACGCCTTATTGTAACCTGCGTTCTTAGCTGGTACTTTCGACGAAAAAACTTGTTTTAAAACTGAGTATTTATAATTTATTAACATGCGCACTTTTATTTACTGAGATCAAATGATATTACACAATATAATAATATTATACAACATGATATAAGCGTATGATTAGAATTGATTTTAATAATGATACTGCGTGTGGTATTTTGCAAAACACGGTGTTGCGCATAGGCCAACATCACAAATCTTACACTGATATCGTGATTCCCTCCTCTTATCATTTTTAGTACAGACTACACACTTTCGCATCGGGTTCTTACGTTTTGTTGATTCATTTGAGTACAGCGACATGAAGTTTTGGGAAAGGGACACAATGCATAGAAAAATGTGATCTAGAATGTTATTTCCTTTTATGATATCGTACATGCTTAGATAAGAATCAGAAACCTTCAAAGGGAACGACACGAAATGACGGGTTTTTATTGCACCATATGTTTCTTTGATTATTGAGATAGTTTGGCAATTTATGGCCCTTCGGAATTTCTTAATGTTTTAGGTAGACAGTACCTTATACCTGCTGCCTATATGGTTTTCTTCAAATGAAATTTAATATATGAAAAAATAATTGAATATAAGTTATCGTCTACACATGGTTTGGTACCGAACATATACAATTACGCGACATCTTCAGCGAGAGCGACTATAGTCGCCCGTAGTACCTGAGCGGCATCACATGGAAAGCGACTATAGTCGCCCGTAGTACCTGAGTGGCATCACATGGAGAGCGACTATAGTCGCTCGTAGTAGCGAAAGGGTTAAATTATGTTGGATGGAGTTAAATCCCTTCGAAATTTTGTAATAAATCAAATTGTTGATTTTGACGGTGGCCTAACTCCATTCGTGGTTAAAAAACGCATATTATTCATTTAATAATTGTCACTATTTTAATAGGAAATATAAATTTAACACCTTTATATACACTTAACACTTAACGGACGGGTCGAATCTGCTCTGTCTTTCCTAGTTTCCGGGTATTTTTTAGGAGAATTAAATAAACATGAATGCATGGATTTAGAGCGTTGTAGTTTTATTAAATCAATTATATTTCTTATAATATTTTATAACAGTATTTATACCTGTAACTGATGGTATTATGAAAAAATAGCAATGTGCATAAAAGAAAACTTTGATGCAACATACTAAAAATTCATGGAAAAACGTAAATCTATTATGGGTACAATTCATCAATGTATCGTTGAAACCTCCGAGAAAATCATCATGGTATTGCAAAGGAACAAATTTCGGGTTTAAGATTTAAAAAAGTTTAATTATTATTTTCGTAAGAAAGTATTTTTATAATGTACTTTTTCTCGTTAAAACTAAGAGATTGGTATTTAAAAAGATAATTAATGTTAAAAAAGAATGTCTGTAATAGCATTTTAATCGAAAATACAAATTATACAGTTAAAAAGTGTTCTAGTAATTCCATAAAGTATCCATAGTCTTTTTATATTATGTATTAAATCTAACTAACATAAAAGATCAAAACGAGGGAATATTGATATGGTTTTTATTAGTATTCGGTGGTCATATTTACCTCGTATGATTTTCAACACATTTGATATTCAATTTTTGCTTTGAAATTAATGATATAAACGCAAAATAACGTATTAATGTAATAATATACTAGTAATATTAAACATTTGCAATCATAATACTACAGAAAATTTCGTTAAAAAAAATATAGAAAAAAGAAATTTCATTTCGTACAGTTCGTGTTAAGAGTTTAACGATTTAAAGTTAATACTCCTATGAGAAAGAGATATAACTAATCTCCATCAGCCCAAACTCCTCCCACCACCACACTTGCAGGATTCTTGTAATCCTTGCTTTGGAAGTCTAAAAGGATTTGTCCTCGATCCAAAAACCTTATTTTATTAAACGATGTCCAACGATGTTTTTTATATGATCTAATTTGAATAACATTGAAATTAGCGATAACAACTGGACAAATTTATTTAATATTCGTATTTTATTTGAATGCGACATATCGTTAGAAAATTATTACAAAAATCGGTACATATTGTTACAAAAATTTTCCACCTAATTTTTTTCTTTTAATTAACAAAGCTACAATATAATATTCTTCTCGTTACAGATTATCTTTGAAAATATACAAATGAGAGAAAGAAATAAAAAAATTAGAGAATGTGAGTCGAGTCAAAAATAAAAAACAAATATGATCATCATCAGTAACTCATGTGCGAATAATTAAGAACAAAAAATCGTATTAATCGAATAATACTTAATTTAATCTTTTTCCGTCTATTTGTTTAGAAAAAAACAAATCGATCAGACTTCACGAGTCAGAATTCAAAATCAATTAAATCGTAAGTACTGGTTAAAGTTTTTTGATATCCTAAAAACTTTTTTTTACAAACAAAAAATGTACGATCGGACTTGACGAGTCAGAATCTAAAATCAATTAAATCATAGAAACTTGCGTTAAAGCTTTTTGGTATCCTAGAAACTTCTTAGTTTAAAAAAAAAAAAGGGAGGAATATTAAAGAAGATCAGTAAAGTCGTTACATCATTATCATTAGACGACTTACTTGGCCCTTACTCTCGACTACTAGAAACTCTAAGTTACTCTATTACTAGAAGGGCTTCCTGTTACTAGAGACGTTAAGAGGAAGTCAGCATGGAGAGTACATTAATGGCCAACGACGTAAGCACTTAACGGTGTAATTACAGCGGACATTGCAAATACGGCTAATTACTGAGAGTATATCGACCCTCCAATAGAGAGAGGGGGGAGAGAGAGAGAAACATCTATTACTTTTTCTCTTTCTCTCTCTCTCTTTCTAATCTTTAATCACGCTAATCGTCCTTTATCCTACAGGATACAAGCAAATTACTTAAATGAATTTATTTGATCCAACGGATTCATTACTTTACACTCGTAATCAATCAATCGATCAATCAATCAATCGAATTTCGTTATCGTTATAATATTATATCTTTATAATTATATTGATGACAACACAATTGTTGACATACGCGGACGATATTGCTTTGTTAGGGGACAATGAAGAGGCATTAATTAATAACGCAAAAATATTAATAGATAATACTAAAGATCTGGGACTGCAAATAAGCGCGGAAAAAACCAAATATATGGTAACCGATAGAGTTCAGAATAGGCCTAGTACTGGAACTTTGGTCGTCCGGGATAAAACTTTTAAACGGGTCAACAACTTTAGATATATATTTAGGATCGATCATAAACCAGACAAACGAAATTAACGAAGAACTTAAGAAAAGAATCAATCTAGGCAATTCATGTTTTTATTCGATTAACAAATTACTCAGCTCGCGGTTGCTGTCTAGGCGATTAAAAATCAGGATATACAGGACAATCATCCTGCCGGTAGTCCTTTATGGTAGCGAATCGTGGTCGCTTGCGTTACGAGACGAAAAGAAATTTAGGGTTTTCAAAAACAAAGTTCTTCATAAAATCTTCGGTGCAAAACGCGATGAGGAAACGGGCGAATAGAGAAAACTCCATAACGTTGAATTACATCGATTATACAGCAAACCGGACATTATCAACGTCGTAAAATCACGTCGATTAAGATGAGCTGGTCACGTGGCGCGCATGGGGGAGGATCGAACGGCGCACAAAATATTGGTCGCTATAACAAACGGGAAAAGACCACTAGGTAGACAGAGACGTAGATAGGAGGATAATGTTAGAAGGGACCTGAAAGAAATAGGATACGAAGACCCCGAATGGAAGGATCGCGCTCAGGGACAGGAACAATGGCGGGATTTGGTATTTGCGGCAATGAATTTTCGAGTTCCTTATGCCAATTAATAATAATAATAAATAATTATATTGATTATTAATAAGCTGACACCTTTTCTCCTCCCTTCCCTCTTTCTTGTATTAAATATTAATTTAATTCAATCATACCTTTTTGATGCGTAAATGTGCACGATGCATCCTATAACAAATAAAACTTATTCGAATTATTATTTGTTTTTTCTTCTTTTTTATGGTTTCATATTATGTTATTCTTTTGTTTTATACATGTAATTTAAAAAAAAATACAATTTCTCGGCATCATGGGTCTTATTATTTTGTAATATTCCTTACTTCAAAGAATTAACACAGAGTTGTTGTTCACAAAACAAAAGAAATGAAGATGGAAATATAGAAAGGATGATAACGAGTGGAAAACATCCCTGCACAAAAGACGAATCGATTAGTCTTCTACTTTAAAAGATTCCAGTTAAGGAAGGGCAGGAAGGAGAGGGGAGGGGGTAATAAATTTCGTGAGAATAAATTAAACGTGTCATTTCGTTCACGTTTAAAAGCCATAATAAATGTAACTTAGGTTTACAAAGATTTTCTCTGTTATAGTATTTTGTTCCAAAACCGGATGTTTATAAGTGGCGTATAAAAGGCCTGAAATATAGATAAGCTAACAATGCACGGTTACTGTCATAGTTTTCAGTGAAAGTTGCGAACAATGTTCTCTTAGCTGTTTCTCTCTCTCTCTCTCTCTCGCTCTCCCTCTCTCTCTGTTTCTTTCCTTCTTTTTTTTTTTATTTCTGTTTTTGTCTCTTTTTCCCAAGAGAGTACGTGACGTTTTAACGACTTCGTGAAAAATAGAAGACGCTGACAAACTAAACGTTCTGTGTTGGAGGTAAATGAGCGTGTATAATACATATAATTCTGAACCATATTTTGATACAAGAGAAAACTATTACGTCTAATATAATAATAATTGCGTTAATTATGTATAACAAAATATTGTCTCGTCTTTTCAACGAAAAAAAAGAAAAGAAACAATTACATCTTTTTAATTCGAAATGTTTGAAAAGAAAAAGAAAATATTATTAAAAATTTTCATTCCTAATAGATCATCACTCCCAATAAAAATAAAATTATATTCGAAGAAAATTGTTTCGATAAATCGTTAACACTTATGATTGAATCTCATTATTATCATGTACACTACGATTAAAAAAGTTTTTATATACATTTTACATATAATTATCCCGAAAATAATTATTAATATCGTACAAATGCTGTAAATAAAAAATGAATTCACTATTAACTATATGATTAACAAAATCTTTATATATTTTACTATAATTTTTCCTGAAAATAATCTATCGTATAAATGCTGTAAATAAAAAATAAAAAATAAAAAAACAAAACATTAATCTAAAAAATATATCTAATCTATCGGGCGAAAAAAGAAATAAACAAGATCAATAATTGGTCGCGTTTGACAGAACAAACAACAACGTAATCGAAATAAAAAAAAAATAAAAAATTCATTGGACATTGAAGAAAGTGATGGAAATTGGGATGGATCAAGTTGTTCGCGGAAACATCGCGAGAAGAAAAAGAAGGGAAAGGAAAGGAAAGGAAAGGAAAAGAAGAAATAAAATAAGAAGTATAATAGACTATAGAAAGAGAATAGCATTAGCAACGATTTCGATTCGGAGGCTTCGTGTCGACGACACGCACGGAATTTTCACGGTAGGATTAGGGAGCAACGATCGTTCGATTCGTCGACCTTTCTCGGCCAACCGATTGCACAACGGCTGACAGTAGCACTTATCCCGTTACATCGAATCCTCTTCTTTTTTCCTTTCTCATTTCGTCGCGTATCTCGACGGCTCACTCGATTGCACTCAAACTGCCACCTTGCCTGCTGCAATTAAATACCTTTTTTTTTCTCTTTTTTTTCTTTCCATTCCCTTTCCTTTCTTTTCATTCCCTTTTCTTTCTTCTCACAAAACGTGCATACGAAACCTAATCGGTAACCTTAACCGCTTCATTCTCTTTGCTAAATTCGAAAAGTTCATCATCTTATAGATAATAACGAATTATTTAATCACGCTTTACTTTAAATTCCTTTTTTTATTTATCTACCATTTGATAAATTTTAGCTCGCAGATTTTTCAAAGAAAAACAAACTAATAATTTGCATGCAGGATAAAAGTGAAACTCGTATTGTTCTGTAATTTTTTTTTAAATTATTAATATTAAAAGCAATACGTATTAATGTAAGAATATATTCTAAATAAATATTAATTATCTATAGTTCGATAAATTTTAGCTCGCAGATTTAAAAAAAAAATAAATAAATAATTGGAGTTACCTGCATGCGTATGAAACTCGTATTTTCCTACGATTTTCTTTTTAAAATTATTAATGTAATAAACAATATGCATTAAAGTTAGAATATATTCTAAATAAGTATCTACTAATATACTTCGAATGTTAAAACAATTTCGATTTGATTTTTTTACTAGCTAGAAAATTTCTAACTGAAAATCATTAATGGCAATAAGTTAGAAACGTTAAAATAAATATATTTTTAAACGATCGAAAATATTAATAAAATATATAATAAAGTATTTAATTTACCTTAATTTATTGTTAATAAATCGAAAAAAAATGTATATTGTAATCTAAAAGCACGGTGTATAAAGTTCGACACAACTTCCTCTTCGAAATCAAACTATAAACTGAGTCATTTGTCCTCTGTGAAAGTTCTTTTATTAAACGTTGTTTATATGACTTTCCCAAGGTTTCTTATATATAACAAACATAATATTTGTTAGAAATAGAATCTTCTTTTTTCGGAAAGTCATATAGACAATATTATGTGTTTCGAATTTATACTGTGTGTTTTTTTTTTAAATTACGATATACATTTCTTTCGATTAATAACCAATTATCTTTCATAAAAAACGCATTTCGCAATAACTAACAATCGAATAAATATATAAATAAAAATCCGTTAAGTTTACATTAATAACTTTAAACAATCGTAAGATGCAATTAAAATTGTTTTAAAATTTAATAATTATTTTTAAAATTATAAGATCCTATTGTATTAAAATATTTGTTTAAAATTCGTTACGAGGTAAGTTTGATCTTTACATATATTGACCTAAATATAAAGTAGACTTCGTTGTATGTTCAATTATTGGCACACCTGGTATACAGCATCGAGAAAGGTGAACGAGCTTGAGTAACAGTTTCACGAGGGATAGGAGAGTTCGATAGGTCGATAACCGATAAAGTAAGAAAGTCATTTCCAGATCGGTTACTCTAAAATTATTCGATTGCTCGAATAAGGTGCGACGTGCTCGTTCTAATTTTTATGTAACTATGAAATGAAAAAAAAAAAAAATCTTTAGGATAGTCGTAAAATGACAAAATCGTTTTACGTTGTAGGGTGAGCAAAAAACTTTTATGGATCTTCTTCGCAAAATCATTTTTCCCGAATGAATCAAATTTACGCGAGTACATTTTACGACAGCTATTGACATCAATGAAGATGTTCCATTTTTTTTTTTTTTTTTATCTAAGTATATCAACGTTGTTAAATCAAAATTAAATATTTGATGTTTTATCTACGACGACGTATAAAGAAAATTATTTATTAGTGCAAATAATTATTTTTTTTCTATAACACTTATAAATCTTTGAAAAATAAATTAAGGATCGTATTATTTTGCTGTGTGATACATATATTAAGTATATACTAAACTTTGGAAATTAAATACATTTTTTTTTAGCTACAAACGGCATTTGTGCATTAGTCATTATACATTCCACGTAATTTTATTTGAAATTCCAAATGATTCAAATTTTCACATAGCTTTCTTAATTCACATAGTACAGAAATAATTTAAATATGTTAAACATTTTAAGCAAAATTAAATGAAATTAACAAATCCGGGATTTTATCAATTTTTTGAGTTTGGAAAAATGAAATTTTAGTACTCCGTATACCCTCCTTTCGCTATCAATACAGCTTTTATGCGTCTTGGCATGCTATCTTCTAAACTTTTGCACTAGGGGTTAATATGTTTATTCGGCATACCTCATTTATATGGTTTCGCGTGAAATGTGAGAAATATTGAAAAAAAAAAAGAAATGTAAAGGTATACTAATCGAACAGACAAATTTGCACATATTACCTAATCATTTTCTGCCCACCCACCCCTACCCTCCTTGTAAATAAAGATCGATCGATCGCATAATTTCCACTAATTTTGTGTGGAAATTCTCTCTTATGAGGGGGGTTTCCCATTGCCTCCCCTCCCCTACCTCCTCCTCCTCCTTCTGACTAGCCACGTTTTCGAGACCACACGATGTTTGCAAAAGTGGAATGGCAATGGCGATCGGACAACCAATTTGTCGAACATTAATCTCTCCGATTGTCGAAGTTAAACGAGCGTTCAACATAATTGGTCTGATTACAGCTGGGGTTTCCAACCACTGATTGTTCAAGCATAACTTCGATAATGTAAAAACCTACTGCATAGAGAATAAATCTCATAAACAGTGGCGACGGACATAAGAATAGATTTTCACAGGATTCGCACGTACGACACCCGTTAATTGTTTAATAAATAAATAAAACAAAATAAAAATATATTTATTTTCGTAAGAATTTATTCTCATCGATAACTTCTCGTTATTTGATTTTAAATACAAAATTAAATTTATTGTATATATAATTTTAACTTTTTCTATAACAATTAAAAAAAAATTGACGAAAAAGGGCCTTTGACATAAAAAATAAAAGTAATAAAAGAAATAATTTTGGAAACAACAAAAGTAACCTAATTTATTTTTTTTTAAATATGATCGTAGAAGAAAGAGAAAGAAAGAAAAACTGAGGTACCTTTAAACAAGATTATTGAAGGTAAGAATAATTTCATTTTTATTTTATAAACAAAAACAAAAACAATAAAGAAGGAGTCAAAAAGAAAAAGGATATAAATCTTTTTTACTTCTCGAATTTTGGAAATTATTTGATAAATTATTTGATCAATACTCATAACGCGTGTAAATATTTCTAACAATATTTTACAATGTTTTATGTTTTTTAATATATCTATAATTCTAGATAATTTTTCCCCATTTCTAGAAACAAATAAAAAGCTGAAGGGAATGAATAAATAT